TGAATCACATTTGCAAGGTGTGAATTCTTTTGTATATACTCCAGGGCAAAATCCTCTGTGTGAAAATTCTAATAGGTATAATCTTGGGCCACTTTTTCAAGGTATGAATTCTTGTACATTTCCACCACCACAAATTCTGTGTGTCAGTCCTGTTTGGTGCAGTACTAGAATACATTTTCAAGATATAAATTCTCCTGCATGTACTCTAAAACAAGAATCTCAGTCTGAAAATTCTATTGGCTACAACCCTGGGCCACATTTACAAGCTCCAAAACGTCAAGAACAGTACTTGAAAGATCTGAAGTCTGAATTAACTGAATTGTCAAACAATTTGAGTACAGCACCAATGGAATACAACCTTGGTTCACAACATCAAGATATGAATGGTATGAATTCTTCTGGGTTTAATCCTGAGTCAAAAGCTCAGTGCACACCTTCTGTAAAGCCCAGTTCAGGGCCACAGTTGCAAAGCATTAAGTCCTTTGACTTGACCCCTGGCTTAGAGTCTCAAGGTATAAAATCTATTCTGTTAAACTCTGGATCACCTTCTCAAGGTGTGAATTCATCTAACTTAATGCTAGGGGCAAAGTTTGAAAAGGTCCCATTTTTGAAGAATCAGCTTGGGTCATGGCAGCAAAGTGTGCAGCCTATATTTACTTGGAGGCCTCAGTCAAATAGTTTGAATTCTGTGGTTTTACCAAAGTCACCTCCTGAAGATAGAAAGTTTCCAGAGAAGAGTACACAGTTTTGTACAAGTGCTATAGAACTGACACCTGGCTGTGGTCTGAATGACCTGAGAAGTAAGGTGTTTTCACCAGAACCTTGTTTTGAAAATGTTCAAGCTGTGCAGTTAAATCTAGGGTCAGAGTCTCAAAGCATGAGTTCTTCAGAATTGACGTCATGCCATGGTTCACAACATCCTATGTCTTCCCTCAAACCAAAGCCATGTTTTCAAGATACAAATCCTGAGCAGCTGAGGATAGGATCTGAACAGCAAAGTCTGAACTGCCAACTGTTTCCTTCAGAGGAGAAACCAATGATGGCATCGGGGCCACAGTCCACCAGGAAGCTCTTAGCAGGACCAGCACTGAGTAGTGTCAAATTTTCAAATTTGTCACTGAAATCACAGCAGGAAAATAGGAAATCTTGGGCATTTACTTCAGAGCCAATGTGGCAAGGTGTAAACCATGTGAAATTGTCATCAGTGTCTCTGCCAGAACCTGGAAAATCTGTGGAGTTACCACTAAAGTCAATTCTTCAAACTATGAAATCTGGGAACCTAATGCCACAGACAATTGATCCAGTCACAAAATCGACTAAAGACCACCCAAGACCACATCGTCAAGACCTGGTAAAACCTATGGAGTTAACTCCAAGGGCAGATATTCAAGTGACTTCTGCAGAAGTAGTATTTGAGCAGACATCTCCCCTTAAGGAACCTAAAGTTTTAACTTGTGAGCAAAGGCTTCAGTCTGGAAAATCTCTAAGCCTCAAAACCGAATCTCCCAAAGTAATGAAAACTGAGGATTCCAGTCAAGGATCGGTGTGTCAGAATAAAGACTCAGAGATGATCACATCAGCAAAGTTACAGGCAGAGGACTACTTATCTAGGTTAATACACAGCCCTTCAATCCCATTTCTCTCAAGCGTTGACAAAACAACTGAATTAGAGCCCCTTCAGGGTTCTGGGGTGCCACAGGTTTCAAGAGCTTTTGGTATGAAAAACCTTGGTGTTGGTATTTTGCAGTCTTCAAAGTCCTATACAGACACTATTATGATAAAATCTTCATTTCTTCCGTTGGTCCTTGAAAATCGACCCTCTGATAAGACAGGGGACACCAAGGGAACCCCATATCCTGAGATCTGGAGCATGAATATCTTATCTAAGGAAGAAAGTGGAAAGGAGAAAATGGAGGAATTCCAGAGGTATTCTTCATATTCATTCAGATTACAATCAGAAGAGTTTCAGGCAGGGTTAGGGGCTCGAAGAAGCTCTATCCGTTCTTTCCTGGGCATACAACAGAATGTCTGGGAAAGTCAAGTCTGCAGGCAGCGACTACCTAGGAAATACCTCTCCAATATGCTAATGCTGGGGAATGTCCTGGGAACCACTATGGAAAGGAAGCCTTGTTCTCAATCATTTTTAACAGAAGGATCCACTATGGACATCTGTCAATCTATTCAGAAGTTATTTGGGGTTCCAGCTGAACTGATGGAATTTCCTCAAAGCCTGCTAGAGAGGGTTCCAAGGACCATTTCTCAGACTTCAGTGGTTAAAACTATATCCAGAGACATATTTTATGTCACAGTAATGAAAAAAAAAAAGCCTCTAAAGATGTGGACACGTGGCTCCACGTCTTCTATAATACAGCAATACTCTGGTACTAGATTAGGAGGAAAGAAAACGAGCTCAAAGCTCAGCGATATATTCCAGGAAGTCGCTGAGCATGTGTCTGTGTCATGTACCGGGGCCCGGTTTCCTGCCTCGATGAAATCAGAGTCTACTCTTGAGATACTTTACACCAGGAAAGATTCTGTTTGCAGGGAGCAGAGTAAAATCTCACCATGTGGTTCACAGACTGGGACTTTTGAGTCCCAGCATTCCCTCAAGACAAGTTCTCTCTCCCAGTCCAAGAACGATATCTCAGAACAGCTCCAACTGCTAAAAGAACTACAGCTAAAAATAGCAGGAAAATTCCTAAGAAGTCAAATACCCCACAATGTCCCTCCACCCCTCGCGTCAGGTCTTGTTCTAAAGTATCCCATCTGCTTACAATGTGGCCGATATTCAGGATTTAATTGCCGTCATAAGTTACAGTCTGCTTTGGAGCCGTACCTTCTTATCTACCCACAACTCCACCTTTTAAGCACCCCCGAAGGCCATGGTGAGATTAGGTTGCATCTTGGATTTAGATTGCAAACTAGGAAAAGACCTCAAGTCTCAAAGTATGAAAGAAACAGAGCAGATCCATGGAAGAGTGCTGCATCACCATCTCGATGGAAAGCGAGATTCTCTACGCTGGCTTCCAGGAGTCCTAGTCCTAGAAGAGATTTCCAGTCCAGATCTTCCCTGTCTCCTGCTTCTGTACAAGGTCACACTCAACAAAAGAATTGGCATAGCCCCTTTGGTGTGGCAGGAAAGACAACAGCCAAAGACTATGAATTCTGTCAGGTTCACTCCCTGTCAGAGAGTGACTATGAAAGTAATCAGGATGAAAAATGGGTAGAATCAAGCCTCAGAAAGACCTTTGCCCCAGTGAAGACAATCGCCAAGGGACCTAAAACACAAAGCCCAAGGCTCTACAGAATCAGTACAAGCACAAAAAGCAGTCATCCTAGAACACTGAGAGGTCTGCCAAGAAGCAGAATTCAAACCACCCAAACAAGCACTGTCCCTTCCAGGAGACAACCTAAGAAATTCTCCCAGCCCAAATTCATCCAACTGCTTTTTCACAGCCTAAGGAGGGCATTCCAAGCAGCACATAGAATTGTCACTGTTACCAGACAGAAACTTGAGTACAAGATGAGGCCAGACAATTTGTGGTCAGTCAAAAACTTGTACCCCAAACAAAGAACCAAGGATTATTGCTTAATGGGAGATAGCAAAGGAGCCAGGACACCAGTTGTCGGGCACAGGTCAACATTCTCAATCCCTAAGCAAAAAGAAAAGTTGTGTATGTCTACAGTTTTGGAAAGAAAAGGCTTTAATGGTGAAATATTCAGTCTAGAGTCTAAGAACTGTTCTAAAGTAGGAGCCAAATTTCAGGCCCAAGAGAGGATTGTGTCTAACCCCCCTTTGAAAGGAATCCTGCAGAGTCACGTTGGAAAGAAAGCCATACACAAGGAAGAACAAGGCTTCTTCAGGGAGAGAACCCTATGTAATAAGCCATTTGAAAGTACCCATCGCAGGCTTCCTCAGAGAACTCATTGGCGAAGTCTCTCTAAGAGGAGACATCACAGTCCTTCTTGGAGAAGGCATAGCAGTCCCTCTGACAGAACCTTTATAAGTCTTTCTGAGAGGAGTCATAGCAGTCCCTCCCAGAGAAACAGTCTTAGCTCCTCTCTAAGAACCTATCATAGTCTCTCTGAGGGAAGCCATAACAGTCTCTTTAAGAGGAGAGGCCACAGTTTCTCAAGGAGGAGCCCTCACAGGCGCTCAGGGATGAGCCCTCACAGGAGCTCGGGGAGGAGCCCTCACAGGCGCTCAGGGAGGAGCCCTTTTAGATCTCTTGAGAGAAGAGGTCACAGTCCCTCTCTGAAGAAGAGTCTATGCAGTCTTTCTGGGAGGAGCCAACAAAGTCCCTCTTCTCTGAGATGCCTCAGCCCCTCAGAAAGAAGCCATCTCAGTCTCACGCGGAGGTCACTGGGCAGTCACTCAGAAAGGAGCCATGATATTTCATCTGAAAGATACTTTTCCATTCCCTCTGGCTGGAAAAGACATGGTTCTGGAATAAACCAGTACACTTTGCCTAATCCCAGGCTACACAGGCATTCTGCCAGACTTATCCACAGTCATTCTGAGAGAGCACACTACAGTCCCTCTGAAGGGAAACACAGTCCTTCTGAGAGGATGTGCCCCGA